CTGCAATGAAGCAGAATGTCCATCCCCTCGATCATCTGCTCACCTCGCAGATCTAATTATCTGCCGAGTCCTTGTGACTGTAGTCTTCCAAAACGCACAACCCCCTCGGAATCCAGTGTAAGGCCCAACCCGAGGAACCCCGTGAACTCTGTGCGTGTACAAAGCCCCACATCCCAGGCACCTCAAACCCTGCATCTTATCTCGCGAACGCAAACACAGCGCACGATAACTGTAAGCGAAAGTGCATACTGTAAAGCCACAAATTTTGGTTCGATGCCCAAACCAACAGGTCGTGGCTCTTTGCGATACCAGTTTCCTTGCATCGTTGCCTTAGGTCTTTCTTGGACGACTCTCGCGACTCCCGTAGATCCAACATCGGACTTGGCCTGGGGACATGGGCAACCTTCTCCAGGAGACCAGGGCCGAAGTACTTAGAAGTGCTGCGGCCATGTCATGGGACGTCATACGGAAACCGGGAGAGTGACTCTAGACTCTAAGAACCTCCCGCACTGCCGAGGCATCAAGCAGTCGAGCGACAAATGCCGGATGGACAAGCTCGTCAGGCGGCGAGATATGGTCATCAAAGAAGAGACTGGTGTCGAATTCATACTCTCCTTCGTGCCAGAGGGCCGGGGCTCACAATGTTCTGCCAGCTAGCAATGGGTTCGGGGCATTGTGCTCGCAGTTTCCCGACGAAGCTTGGAGAAGGAAACCCAGCGATCGGCACTGAACAAGAATAGCTTCAACATCCGCCAGCACTATGACTGCAAGAAGCAAAACAATGCCCAAGGCTCCGCACCGGCTTTCGGCGCAGTCCCCGCTGCTCCAGTCTGGAGGAAGAGGTGCGTGGCAACTCTGAGCTTGGACGCTGGACTCCGGGCATCGGCCCATCTCCGGGCCGCGGCCACATGTCGGATTGCTGCACTCGGCACCCATGCACAGTCCTACTGAACAGCTTAAGTCGCCTCCAATGCCCATATCTCTTGAGGGCAGCAAGCCCACAATGCTACTGGTCAAACTGATGGGTCACATGCACTCTGAAAATGAGCATTGTGAGCCTGAGCTTTACGTTGCATGTGCTGAAACTGGCAATTGTGATGTGATGCAGTCTGTGTCTGACTCCGGGTCGAAAAATACCCAGAAGACGAGTTGCAATGTGCTGCAGTGTTTGTGCGCATGGTTGGTAGAGTACAGATCAGGCCTTGATCCCAAAATTTCGAGAAACCCACCACTGAGGATTGAGCCGACGACCTTTGCTTTTGGGGATCGCCTACATGAGGGAGCACCTTTGGTGACAGTTATAGAGGACTTGAAGCACCAATAACTACTTAGCGAGACTGTGTCAATGACGTAGATTGGGCATCTCGTGCGGCTTGGCATGGACCCCCTGTCGATACATTCGATGGAAGAGGCACCCAAGGGGCGTTAAAAGTTCGATGTTGAAAATATCTCTTTGTCTTCAACTTTCAATCTCAAATGTAAGAAGTTGAAATATTTCGCTCCGCAGAGACCCAATGCCCAGACCTGGGGAGGGTAATGACGTTGTTGTTGTCTCGGGCGTGCTTCAGCATGTGTCTTGTGTGTGTGTGTGTGTGTGTGTGTGTGTGTGTGTGTGTGTGTGTGTGTGTGTGTGTGTGTGTGTGTGTGTGTGTGTGTGTGTGTGTGTGTGTGTGTGTGTGTGTGTGTGTGTGTGTGTGTGTGTGTGTGTGTGTGTGTGTGTGTGTGTGTGTGTGTGTGTGTGTGTGTGTGTGTGTGTGTGTGTGTGTGTGTGTCCACCCCTGTTTCGAAGGGTAGGTAAATCTGAGTCGAATGAGCAGGGGGCCGGTGCTCTCCCTGGGGTCACCGGCCAACGAAGACACCCCCAGGGAGGGGTGCAAACGTACCTGCAAATCAGTAACCCTAGAGCAAGATTCGTACGAGCTTCTGATTGCATGTTCTGACTTTCCCTTGCAGCTTCTGACTTTCCCTGACAGCTGCTGACTTTCCCTGACAGTATGCACCGACAGATCAGACCTGCGACACGATGTGTCAAGTGTGCTTCACAACGGCGTTCCCTATGGGCGCCGTGTCTCCCAGAGGTAGCTCTGGCGCTGACTTTCCCGATTGACTGTATAAGCATTGGATGACTTTCCCTGATTCTATATCCGTGCTTGCAAGCTGACTTTCTCAGTGAGTCTTTCCCAAATGCCTTTGCCGAAACCTGAATGCTGACTTTCCCACTGACTTTCTATGATCTGATTGACTTTCCCGAATCTGACTTCACCGCTGACTTGTCGCAGGTCTTCGGCTGCAAGTTGAGTACATGAGCTGTACTTTTGGTAGTTGCTGATCAGTTTGCAAGTGCTGCAGTTTGAGACTTCGTTGAGCTTTGGCACCAGGTGTTACCTTGGTCAGTGACTCTGCGATCGGCAAGAGCAGTGCAAGTGAGTGCGTGTCGTCGTGCAAGTATTGTGCAAGTGTAAGTTTGGCAAACGTTTTTCTTCTGTGGTGAATGCGTGCATGCCTACATGCGTTCGGAGTGCGCATCTCGCTGCTTTACTGCATCGCAAGTGTCGTGCTAGTGCAAGCTTGAAAACGTTTTTCTTCCTTGGTGAGTGAGTGCATGCCTTCATGCTTTCGGAGTGCGCATCTCTCTGCCTTACTGCATCGCTTGCTTGTAGCGTTTTGTTTGTACAGAAGCGAAGCTGGTGGAACGAGCTGTGGTTTCTGGTGGCCCGGTGGAGCATTGGAGCTGCTGGTGGTGGAGCTTTGGTTTCTGGTGGTCTGGTGGCGATCTGGACAAGTGAGTGCGCATTGTCATGCAAGTGCTGTGCAAGTGATTGCATCGTCATGCATGTGCTATGTACGTGAGTGCTTCCTGTCAGTAAGTTCGAAAGAGCAATGAGCCCGGGAGGGCTTGTGTGTGTCCACCCCTGTTTCGAAGGGTAGGTAAATCTGAGTCGAATGAGCAGGGGGCCGGTGCTCTCCCTGGGGGTCACCGGCCAACGAAGACACCCCCAGGGAGGGGTGCAAACGTACCTGCAAATCAGTAACCCTAGAGCAAGATTCGTACGAGCTTCTGATTGCATGTTCTGACTTTCCCTTGCAGCTTCTGACTTTCCCTGACAGCTGCTGACTTTCCCTGACAGTATGCACCGACAGATCAGACCTGCGACACGATGTGTCAAGTGTGTGTGTGTTGTGTGTGTGTGTGTGCTTACCCGTGTATTGGCGTGCTATCCTATGCATTCTTTGCGATATGATGTACAATCCTCTACATGACTTACCTTTACAACCTCATCAAAAGGAAAGCATATCATCCTACAATTCGCCAACCTATAAAAACATTAATGAAGTTCACATTAACATATACTTCCAATCTACAGAGCTTAATGATCCTTCTGCTAGACTTGCGGAATCCAGAATCTACAATTCCGAACTACCAGGTGTATTCATTCAAAATAGATTTTTTCAAGACTGGATCATCTATACTTATACATATGAAAAATGTGGTTTTAGTGGAACATTCTGATATTATAAACGTGTCAAAAGTAAATAAAATAGACCACAAATAGCAACATGCAGTTGAATTATTTTTTCGCTTTACAATATAATTGAGTAATAACACACGTAAGAGCTAATATCCCTATGCTGCAAAAGACTACTGATTTCTGTATGAATTACTTCACGTCGCAAGCAAACTCGAAACAGCAGAGTTTAATGGTTTTAGCATTGAACTATCGAATATAACCTGGAGTTATAGGTAATAGCATGAAATATTTAATATTGTATCTATAGGTAAAGCATTCAATTCTGCAAAATTCGTAAAATTAAAGGTATGCATCCCACCGAATCTGAATATGTACTTCACGCCAAATACCTGTTTATCTAAACTCATATGAAAATTTTGTGCTGCAAAGCCCATGATAACAAATAATACATGAATAGTTTGCAAGTGGCGAAAACATATGTCCGTAATGACAATTAATGACCTATAAACATTTAAAGTCCTGCACCCTAAAGTACCAATTCCGACTGGCAAACAAATTCAAGATACCCCAACCCCGCGACGCAAGCTCCTGCACGAAAGGACTCGTCCCCATTACAAACATAAAACCTATTCGGAACACCACCTGCACTTTCCAACCCTTTTAGTTAAACCCGGAAGGCCGCAAGTAAATAGTAAATCGAAACCGCATATTCTGAGAGGTGTATTTTCTCATAAATAAGCTCTAGTTTAGTAGCTTTTCCCATATCCATGCGCCGAAGTTCACAGCGTCAATTTGCTTCAACCCCCTGGGACATCCATCACTTCAATTTCTTGAACCACACCCCTGGCGAAAGAATAAACCCGATGGGTCTACATTAATTACTCCGAACGCAACACCATTACGCACACCACTGCCTGTAGGACCAGCTACGAAAAGCACAAAATGCCAGCATAGTCCCTTCCAGAACACTTTAGATTTAGCAGCTGCGAAAGAAGCGCAAGCTGCCCGCCAAGGTATGCTGCGTAACACTGGCGACCCCGGCACATCCACAGGCACCAAGAACCACCCAGTACAAAGGCAAGCCCCGCAACGCCTCGCGTAAAGGCAAGCCCCAACACGTATCTTCAAGAACCCGTCTGTTACTGTTACAGCATCTGATGGGGCGCTTTAGAGAGCCGATCTGCTACGGCATCCGTCGGGGGAATTTAGCTAAACTCCCCGACTACCCTTTTGCACAGACTTGTACGTGCCCGTGCTCACTTCCCCCGGACGTCCTGACGCAAACAAGACTGCGCACTCGTTGCTCACACCGCTCCAGCGACTGCAGCCTAAGAGCTGCGGCACCCAACGATGGTTACGTGGGTAAATTCACTGACAAAGCAATTCAGGCTGCAAGGCCACAAGAGTTTCCATCATGCAAGCTAGTCCAACCTCGATATGTCGATAGGTGCGAAGTTGTTGTCGCCACCGTCCCTCCGCCCACACCCTGCCGTCCCAAATCCATCACAGCCGCTGCAGCCCCACCAGTCCATGCCCACGCACCCCATGCATCTGCATGACCCTCGAGTGTGCCGAGTGTGGGCCGTTGCAAAGCGATCCTTCCTTGCGGGTATTGCCAGCTCTTCGTGGGAAGCCCGACTCGCCAGCATCGCGCCACGCCACCCGCCGCCCCCCCCCGTCCTCGGCCCTCAGCCCCGTTGTCCAGGAAGCCTGACAATGCTCAAGTCCACCACTTTCAAAAGGCAAGTGCACACATGCACATGTGCTGGGCACATGGCAGTGCGCGCACTTGCCTTCCGAAAGCGGTGGGCTCGAGCATTGTCAGGCTTCGTGGACAATGGGGCTGAGGGCTGAGGACGGGGGGGGGCGGCGGGTGGCGTGGCGCGATGCTGGCGAGTCGGGCTTCCCACGAAGAGCTGGCAATACCCGCAAGGAAGGATCGCTATGCAACGGCCCACACTCAGCACACTCGAGGCTCAAGCAGATTCATGAGGCTTCTCCATTGATGCAGAATCAATGGGGCGGAGGGACGGTGGCGAGGGCTTGGTCTAGGACCAGCGGGGCTTGCAATGGCTCAGGATTCAGTCGAGCAGGGTGGAGTTTTGACGAAGGAAAAGCTGGCTGCAGAACGAGTCTGGCTGCACCCACACCGCTTGCCTGGGATGAAAACCCAGGCTGCGCTGTAAGAGCTACCAAACAAGTCCGACAGCCGGCTTTCCCAGTTCCAATCATAAGAGATAGAAGCGTTACTAGAACTCGTGGCCTTGTATATCCGTTGCTACAGCTCTCTCTGCTACTGTGGTCCTTACTAGTTCGGGGATATCAATCAAGACAGAACAAGCTCCTTACAACTGAGCGAGCTAATTGTCACGCTACGGCGTCTAGAGTCTAGAGTTTAAAGACTTTAAGTATCCCGCTTAGAAGGACCAGCCGGAAGTGTCGTCAGATGTCCGACACCTGGCGGTAGCTGCAAAACCTTTGCAAGAGCTGAATGTCGAGCGCTGCCCTAGGCCCGAAGCATCATTGACTTTCCTCTGCGTCAACCCCAAGAGCCCATGCAAAAATGACATCGTTTCACTAGCAAGACTTCCTGAAGCACTGCTACAGAAGTCTGAAGCCATGCCAATGAAATCCGATGTACCTCGAGCAGCTGCTCGATTGATCTCCACGGTGCCTTGGATGAACGAACAAAAAATTCAAGATTTTGCCACGTCCGTCCCCCAGTTCCCAAGGCTTCGGTTCGGAGCTTTGATGCAAGGACCTGTCACTCTAGGCCTGCCTCGAGTTGTTTCTGCAGGTACTGTACGCACACGTGCTGCTTTACGATCTTGTGTAAGGCTCCTTCATGCTCCTTCTGAGGGGTTCCGGCTGTTCGTAACATGCATCATATGTTGTTCTGTGCCAGGTTTCACACTTGACGTATCATGCCCAAAGATGCGAACCTCGTTACGGGAGCTTTCGCTCCTCGACACAGCTCCGGGCTTCTTGGGGTTTCCATCAACATAATTACCCTCAATCCGAATTTCCCGATTCCCTTTCTGAGAAAGCCTATAATCTTGATCTCTAGAGCCGAAAACCCTAAGTATGAACCAGTCTCTTCTGCTGGTTCTTAACTTCCTGAGGGTTTGGGTTTAGGATTTAGGCTTGGGATTCGAGTTTCTATTGGGTTGTTTCAGGCTTCTTGGAGTCGGCATTCGGGGTTTGAGTAACCCAGAGTGTCTAAGGGCACAAATATCAATCTTGCAGGCTCTTAATCACACAATGTACTGCTAGTTGAACCTTTCGCTAACCTGGCTTCGGCTGTGCTAGGCTTTAGTGTTGGGTCTTACTTTTAGTGCTCCTTATCCATCGTCTCCTTGACTGCGACCTGGTCTTTCTCTAAGGGTGGACCAAACAGCCGCAGTAAGTGTCAGGCTGAAAGGGCTTGGGGACTAGTGGGGGCCTTAGCCTCTAAGTGAATCTAAACACCGAAGCATACCAGACGAAGGCTTTGATGCTTGGGTCGACCTCTAGCTTCCCGGCTTCTGGAAGATTTGGAGGGCTCATGGTTGTGTTTTAATGCTATCATCCAGGCCAGAGTCTAGGCTTGTCAAGGCTTGCGATGGTACGGAACTATTTCCGGTTTTGCTGTTAACATGAATGGGCATTTGGGTCTGTGACTTGGCTTGCGAAACTGGGTCATGTGTCATGTTTGCGAAACATGACAGCTGCACAAGCAGCGAGCCCGTGTGCCAGGCTGCTCGAGCCAAGGCCAGCATCGAGGTCACCGGTTCACCGGTAATGTCTCCTCCGCCTACCCAGCTTGGTCAGAACATGCAGTCACGGAGACTGCCCCCTCATCCTGCATCTGACATCTGACGAGACCGGGAGCCCAGAACATCGGAAGACGTGGTTTAGAGTCATGTGAAAAGAGGAGCTAGCCAATTCTTCCGAACGCCATGTTGAATCACCCAACCTTCGTCACAATTCCCTTCGCTCTGCAGGACCCGATTGCTTGATTGTTCCGGTCCAAAAATCCCACACCCCAATAACGATGGCATCTCGGCAACCCACGGCAAGCGTCACGAGATCCAGATGTTTACATGAACGAAAGCTGCGATCTGTTGTGGCGCTAAATAGTGTGTCCAGTTGCTAGGTTGATCTTTCGATGCCCGTTCCTCCACAGTTTCTGACATGTTTCTCTGCTGGCAGATTTTGCGCTGCACTAACCGTGCCTCAACTCGAAACTCTGCTATCTTCCGACCTTTGTGGGTGGGGAAGAGAACCATACCTAAACAACATGGGCGGCTTGTTGCAAGGGCACAATACCACGGGTGTCGCCGGTAGTGCATTCAATTCCCTTACCCTTAGCCGTGTTTGCTCGGAAAGTCCAACTCTAAACTGAGCCCCGCCTCATGGCCCCTAGCCGCAGTTCTTGGACGGATCGTTGTTGGGGTTCAGAGCCTCCACGGGCACACCACATCTGTCGGGAATGCGCGCATCTGCCGTGAACAAGGCAGGAGTCGTTGCTGCTCTGCTGGTCTGAAGACTACGGCCCACCTGCAACACCATCATGATGCGGCGCAGGACGACCTGGGCCGGATGGGACGCGACTCATCCTTCTACAGCTCTCAAGAAAACCACAGAAGACCCAAGTCCAGGAGCAGGACCACGTGGTTGCGCAGACCAGCTTCGTCGACGGGATGCGACCCTCGCAAGCTGGGCATACTACAGATCTCGCGCACAGGGACATCCGACAACCAAAGCGTCCTTCGTTGTCGCGACGAATCATGTGCCTAACCGCATGCCTCTTCACTCCAACTCCAGAGCCCAGACACCAACACCGTGCCCACTGGAAGGCCTGATTCCGGAGTCCAGTGCACCTTGCATGTCGGTTCGGGGCTCGCCAACTGTTGGCATCTGCTGCGCAGGTGGCACCCGCAAACGATACCCCTCTGCCCCCAAATGCCTCGGTGTCTTGGCGGGACATGGAGAAGTTCACCTGGGGAACTTCTCCATAGACTGTAGAACATTAAGAAGATGGATAGCATTGACGGCAACAACACAAGCAAATGGAACGAAGCTACGGTACAAAGTAGCTACAGTTACAGCTTCGCCAAGAAGCCCTTCGGCAACAAGCCCAAACAAGCCCACCATTCCGAGGCCAAGGCCCCAGGGTCTTACTGTAGTTATGCAGCTTTCGGCTTGTTGATGGTAGAGGAGTGCAGCATGGCACGTAAACAAGTCAGGCGCCGGCCATGTAGGGCATGTCGTTCAGCCACTTCTTAGTCCCAATGACCAAGTCCATATAGATCTGCGAGCAACTTGGTTCTTTAACGTGCCAAACTCTAGCAAGGTTGATAGCTACAAGTGACCAAGCAAGCATTCACCCTCTCCACAAAGCCCTCGCAACGACGGATTATGCATGCACCCATTGTCGCTAGACGAAGCATAAAGCCTTCATGACAGGCAGGTAACGAACTTCTCGGCGGTGAAATCCATGATCCAGAGGAAAATCTCAACATCGAGGTTTGGTCCATCGAACCAAAGGCGAACCCAATCATTACAACGCAGAAGCCTTGATGGAAGTCTTGCACTGGAAACGGCTTCGCACCCCAAAAGGACTTACATGTCCCATGAATAGCAAGGGCCCCAAGCCGCGCCGCCGGCCTTGTTGGCGTGGGCATACTCACGGTCACCAATGCTGACGACCATCTCCTGCGGTTCAATCCGGGCATGCGAAAATTCAATGCGATGGCACCCCGGCTCACATGTGCTCACTCCAGTTCCGCGGAGTCGACTGACTTCGAGCAGGCCTCAAGCTTTTGGAGGAGATCAACCGACAGCCGCTGGGCACCTGCAGCACAAAGAAGCCCGACTACTAGAATGCAGCTGTCTATCAGGCTTCCACTTAGTGGGCAAGCATGGATTGATGTTGTGTACAGAAGGTAACGAGCCAGAGTGTGAGTCTCACAAGTCTGGGAATCCCACCCAGCTTGCGGCACATATCCTCCACAGCACGCCCTGCCTGTAGTGCAAGAGTGGATCACACAAGCTCCCCTTCCCCTTCTGCCAAATGGCCCTGATGCCCAGCTGCGTGCTTCAGCAGGGCAAGTCTGACGGCAACGGGAAGGTCGTGCACATGCAGCAAAGGACTTCATGTTTTCACGCACGTGACAGTTTCGATGGTCACAAGCTTCAACCTCGTCTCAACCACGGGAAGCGGCAAGGCTCCATTCCTAGCCCTGCCTCATCGACAGACTTCTCCGACCTTATGGGAAATAAAGTCAGTTTGCAATGCACTGCCTCAGTGGCTAGTTACTTAGCAACGAAGCAAGGCGACGGGAGACCCAAGCTTACAAGCATTGTGTCCTGGGGCTTCATAGCAAAACCTTGGCACTGGTACCACTACCCTTATACGTGACGCCAGGCTATTCGAAGGGCGAACTAACAGCGGCAATGCATGGGATCAGCGAACCAAGGAGACACTAAGACCACGGTGGATTGCTATGGATTCCGGTTTCGACTCCGGCGACCGGAACACTCAATGA